TAGAGATCTGGCTGCCTCTGCCTCCTGAGTACTGGGATTAAAGGCATGCGTCACTACCGCCTGGCTGAGAGTCATTTTTTCTTATACTACCTATAGAAGAGGAAGGGACTGCAAAGGTATGAGACACAGAATACGTTTCTGTCTCTATTCTCTCATGTTGGTTTCGTCCTCACCATATTCTTTTTTTTTTTTTTTTTTTTTTTTTTTTTTGTAGTAAGAAATTCTATGATTTAAAGGTGTGGGTAAGGGCGGTTATACTTGCTTACAAGAGGAGATAAAGGGGGCTGGAGAGATGACTCAGTAGTTAAGAATGCTGGCTGTCCTTCCAGAGGTCCTGAGTTCAATTCCCAGCACCTACATGGCAGCTCACAACCATCTATAACTGCAATTGTAGAGTATCCTCTTCTGGCCTCTGTGGGTCCCAGGCATGTGTGTGCACAGACACACCCATATACATCAAATAAAATAAAAAAAAATAAAAGACACAGGGCTGAAGAGAAGGCTATGTTTTAATTATAAAAAGTAAAAGAGCTTTGTTAGTGGTGGTGCACACCTTTGATTCTAGCACTTGGGAGGCAGAGGCAGGCAGATCTCTATGAGTTCAAGGCCAGCCTGGTCTACAAAGTGAGTTCCAGGACAGCCAAGGCTACACAGAGAAACCTTGTCTTGAAAAACCCAAACAAACAAACAAATGAAAAGACACTGAGGGTTCTTCTGACACTTCAAACTCAGCTGAGATTGGCCTCCATAGGGGAGCTGGTAAGATAACTCATTGGATAACAATTATACAACAGCACAATCCTAGAGACCTGAATTCTATCCTGGAACCCACATAAAGGTGGAAAGAGAGAACTAACTCCTCAAAGTTGTCCTCTGACTTCCTCACTTGCACTGTGGCATGCAAACCCACATGTGCAACAATAAATAAATTACTTAATTAAATGTCTTTATGATAACACAAACCATTTTGTAAAGAGGTTTTATAGAATAATATGAAAATATCCCAACATAACAATTGAGAAAGTCTTAAACAGTTTATAAGAATCATAAATGACTACCATGCAGTTGAAGAAAAAAAGTCTATCCTTAGCAGGAATCAAAGACATTCAATTAAAATAATAAAGATGGGCTAGGGATGTAGCTCAGTTGGTAGGATGTTTACCTTGCGTGTTTGAGGTCCCAGGTTTGATCCTCAGCACAGCATAAAAACAGAAATGGTGGTATACATCTCTAACCCCAGGGAGGTAGAACAGGAGCACCACAAGTTCAAAGCCATCCTGTCTACACTGTAAATTCAACACCAGCTTGGGCTACAAGAGACCTTGTCTCTTAAAAGATATATTAGGACTGGAGAGATGGCTCAGAGGTTAAGAACACTGATTGTTCTTCCAGAAGTCTTGAGTTCAATTCCCAGCAACCACATGGTGGCTCACAGCCATCTATGATGCGATCTGGAGCCTTCTTCTGGCCTGCAGGCAGAAAACTGTACATGTAATAAGTAAATCTTTAAAAAAAATAAAAAAATTAAAAATAGCTGGATGTGGTGATGCATACTTTTAGTGATGGTATTTGGGAAGCAGAAGCAGGAAGATCTCTGAGTTTGAGGCCAGCCTGGTCTATAGAGCAAGTTCCTAGACAGCCAGGGCTACACAGAGAAACCCTGTCTCCATAAACATATATGTTATGTAGAAAGTATTTTTTGCAAAGAAAAATCTAACTGGAATTAGATCAAGCTTCTGTCTAGTCATTAATCTTACAGACAATACAAGAGTAGAGAAACACTGAATAACAGCCAGGGAATTCTATCAGCGAAATCTAAATAAGCCAAACTTTTCTCAACAACTGATTTCAAGTAAAAATGAACATCAGGATGGAGAGAAAGAGATTACACAGTTAAAGAGACAGCAGACATGTCAACCAAATTCAACCAGCCATGTAACCTTTGCTTGGATCAAACAAATTAAATGTAAAAACAAAACAAACAAAAGCAAGTAACAGTCAAGACACTTGAGCTTGATGAATGTTTTATAACAAGGAATTATTATTATTATTATTATTATTATTGCATTGCAGTCTGTTTATAGATAAAATGTAAGGTGCTGGGCCCTACACTCTAACAGAGTGTGCAGGACAGAGAGGTGCATCAGAAGTTAAGAGTGCTGACTGTTCTTGCAGAGGACCTGAGTTCAGTTCCCAGCACCCACATGGTGGCTCACAACCACCTGTAAGAGTTCCAGGGGACCCAACACCCTTTTCTGACTTCCACAGGTTCGAGCATGGATGTGGTGCAAGCACATATCTTAGACATGCACACATAAAGTAAGGTAAATGGGGGGGCTGGAGAGATGACTCAGCCGTTAGGAGTGCTGACTGCTCTTACAGAGGACCTGAGTTCAATTCCCAGCTCCCACATGGCAGCGCTCAACTGTCTGTAACTCCAAGATCCGACACCCTTATACAAACATACATGCAGGCGAAATGCCGATGCACATAAAATAAAAATAAAATTAAAAAAGGTAAGTGTTTTACAAGGAAATACCTAAACTCATACAAAAAGGCAACATGCAAGTGGGGGAGGGACTTGCTCAGAAGAAAGTCTCAGTGAGTGGAGGGAGTAAGAGAGGGGTTCGGGGAGGGGTATGACACTGACAAATTTCATCATACCTATGAAATTGTGAAACTTGAAAAAAAAAAAAAACTTGATGGGCTGCAGAGATGGCTCAGTGGTTAAGAGCACTGGCTGCTCTTTCAAAGGTCATGAGTTCAATTCCCAGCAACCACATGGTGGCTCACAACCATCTGTAATGAGATCTGGTGCCCTCTTCTGGTGTGCAGGCAGAATACTGTATACATAATAAATAAATAAATCTCTTTAAAAAAAAAACTTGAAAAATAAGTACAGTGCTTGGAATTTCCTTCAAAATAACCCAGGGATGCTGGGTGCACACTGAAAGGTTCAGGCAGATACCTAAGCAGCTTAAAGGGCCCTGTGTTGCGTGGCCACATCATGGCTACATCACTCATTATGGGGCTGTGTAGGGACTCAGTATGCATTCGAGAGCTCCCCCTTTTAAACCTGCAGCACTATTCTCCTCTCTCTCTCTGGTGGTTGATCTCTCTCTCTCTCTCTCTCTCTCTCTCTCTCTCTCTCTCTCTCTCTCTCTCTCACTCTCTGCCCTGCTCTGTTCTTCCATTCCTCTCCTCTCCCCTTCTAGCTCTCCCGCTCTATAATAAACTGGTTAATGTGCTCTCTATAGTTCCATGTCCATCTCTCAAATTTCTAATTCTTTTTTTTTGGTTTTTTGAGACAGGGTTTCTCTGTGGCTTTGGAGGCTGTCCTGGAACTAGCTCTTGTAGACCAGGCTGGTCTCGAACTCACAGAGATCCACCTGCCTCTGCCTCCCGAGTGTCAGATTTCTAATTTAAGCAAAAGAATAACACACACCTTTAATCCCAGCACTCAAGAGGCAAGAGACAGGTGGTTCTCTGTGAGTTTGAAGCCAGCCTGGTCTACAGACTGAGTTCCAGGACAGGCTCCAAAGCTACAGAGAAACCCTGTCTCAAAAAAAACAAAATAAAATAGAATAACCCAGGGATGACAGCAGAGGTGAGATTATAAGTGAAATGAGGTTACTTAATTAGAACTTAGTTATGGTATAATTACATTATAGTAAATCTATTTATGCTGTTATTTTGAATTCTTTTTTTTTTTTGTGACCAAACATTTTCATAGTCAAAAGTCATGGAAAAACTGTGCTCCACAGTATGAACAAGGAAGGTGTTGAAAATATCTTCAGAAAAAAAATAAATAAAAAAGAAAATATCTTCAGAAAGTTAAGTGACAGTATGGTGTAGTCTGGAAGGAGAGAACTTGGGAAACTACATTGGTACATCCACACTCTCCTCAAAATCTGTTGGAAAGGACATGCATATCAGAAAGCAAAGCAATGTTTAGAAAGGGTTGTGACTCAAAGTGTCAGGAAAAGTGATTTGCAGCAGGGACAGTTCCTTCCTCTGGGAGGTACCAGCTGAGACCTGGTCCCCACCTCTGCCACCCATGCAGAACTGACAGGAGGGTCTGAGGGGAAATGGATGTCGTGCCTTGTGAGCTGACTTTGAGCTACACAGAATGCCAGTCACTCCTTAACAGAGGGGGAAACTGAGGCTAGAGGAGATGATGATCTGAGGGAACTAGTGTTGTGTGTTCCCTGGAGGACACGTCCTTTCTTACACTCTCTGAAGCCAGCCTGTGAGGTGTAAAGCGATTCCCCCCATAGAGACGCCCTTTAACAATCAGTTAGTCTCCCTTCTCTCTGTGGGCCTCGAAAAACAGTCAGAGCCACAGTCTTTGGTGCCAGGCATTTCTGCTTGGCTGGACCAAGAACCCAAGAGGGCCAGAGGCCTGGAGTTTGGTGCTAGGTCTGCTAGGTGCTGAGGCCCCGAGCTCACTCCTCACCTAGACATCAAGGTGAGTCATAGCTCTTGGACCATTCTGGGAACCTGGAAGATGGCATCCTCACCTCACTACAGACCCTTCCTGGCAGGTGAGTCGGTATCTTTTTTCCATCTGTCTCCTCAGTGGTGGTGCTGGCCCTGCCCGGATCATTGACCCTTTCAGACTCTTCATCCATCACCATGCCCTTTGCAGTCCTCCTCTGGATGCTCTGGCCCCAGGGCGGCCACACCCTGCAACTGGACCTCCGCCCAGGCCTCGCTCTCCTAGGCATCCGGTTGCCACATTCCTTTCCCCAAATCTTTCCCGGTTTCTTCCTGCATTCCCATTTCTTTCCTTCTTGTTTGTGCTTTTCTCAAACTCCCTTCTCTAGCTCTCCTGGTCCACACGGGTTTATCTTCAACGCCTCTTCCGCTCTCAGCCTCCCCTCTTCTTATTCATCTCTCTCCTTTAACTCTTCCCTTTTCTGTCCCGGTGTTTCTGTTTTCTGTCACCATCACCTTTCCCTCCCTCCACGACTCCCGGTATCTTTGCCTCCGGTTCCTACCTCGCCGTCCCGGGGTGTCCCTGGGTCCCTGGCCCCACTCGCCCGCCTCGACGCCAAGCAGGGCGAGCCCGGCCAGCGCGCAGAGCAGCGGCTGCATGGTTCGGATCCACCGAGCGCAGCTGTGTGTTCGTAGCCGCCTCCCCGGTATCGCGCCCGCCCGGCCCGAGGAAATGCAGCCCCAGCCAAAATTCCTGGGCGGCTCCGGGCTTCTCTAGTTCTGGAGAACCCGCCCCCTCCAGAAGCCCCACCGTACCCTGCAAGAAGGCGCAGCCCAGGATCCCATCCCCAAGGCTACCTCTCCACAGGGGCATTCCGTCCAGCACCCCACACGCCACCCCCGAACTTGGTACCCCGGCAGAGAAGAGGGGGAGGAGGCTCCAGACGCTGCTTCTGAGGTCACTACTCTTTAAGAGCCCACTTCACAGTCAGCCAGACTGAGCCCGGTAATGAGGACTTTCCGCTGTGTCCCTCGCAGGATGGTGCAGGATCAGAATCCAGGATTCTTAGGACCTGGAAGCGTTCTCTGCCTACCTCTGAGCCAGACAGAAAAGAAGGCTCATGGTATCGGACAGAGGGATTGAAGGCCTAGCGCTGCGGTCCACAGAAACTCACTGGTAAAGACCATTTAACTCCTTACTAAAAAGTGAAGGAGTGAGATGCTACAGGGTGTCCAAACAACTATGCAGACCCTGGCTGGGTATTGAGCAGTCTGTGCCCTTGAGGGCACCTGGCCTCTCACACAGTGAGCAATGAATCCAGCGGTAAGTGAACTCATCAAAGTCAGAATTCACAAATCTAGAAAGGAGTTATTTTCGCACCTTTATCAGTTACTTACAAGTTACAATTTGCAAAGTAGCTTAAAAGCAAGGGATGCCCCAGAGACACAATAGAATTGAAATCATAGCAGTTAGCAAATGTGTTAACCCTACACTAGGGTTTAATGAATGGGGGAAAAATTAATAAAAAGGAAAGACATGACTGCTCCTAGGTGTGGTGGAAGAGAAAGTTTATGGTAGATAAAAGGGAGAGCATAACCAGAAACATTTGGGAGAGTCCAGAGTAGACATGACCCTGAGCCATATGAGGAGGTGGGGGTGGGGTGGGGGAGGGTAGCAGGTGCAGTAGCCAGGAGGGCAAAAGGTAAAAGAGAGGTGGGAAACCAAAATGTCTGGATTATGCAGAGAGGGGCAGCTGGGGGAAGGACAACCCAACCCCTGGACTGGAGAGTTCAGGGTAGAGGATAGGGTATGCCAGCCATACCCTGTAACAGGTAGGGGTTGAGGAAGGCTGGGAGAATGGGGAGGTCAGGTCCTCTTTGATATATTAAATAGACACCTCAGCCATTTGTCCCAGGGTTTGAGACTTAACATTTGGAGGTGAAAATGGAAAATAATCCACATATTCACATAGGTTTGTGTCCCTTAAGGAGTTCACAGTCCCAGCAGTCATTATGGTATAAACAGAAGGTAAGTCATGGTGATTTTCTTCTGCCATACTCTCTCTGATCCTCAGGGTAACCCCACAAGGGGCCCATTGTCACATTCATTCTGAAGATCAAGAAATTGAGATTCAGAGAAGTTAAGATACTGGCTGATGGCCACACAGTTGGACAACGTGGAATCAGACTTCTAATCTAGCTCTGCTGCCTCTGCAACCAGCTTTTTAGATAACAATATACACTATCCTCAATTCTGTTTCTATGCTAAGCACGGTGCTGGGGAAAGGGTAGAATGGAGGTAGGGAGGGTATGTGTCTTCAACCTAAGAGCTGGCTGGGTTTTTTGGTTTTGTTTTTGTTTTTTTTCAGTGAATTTCAAATCACCTCAAACCTGCAGTTTAGAACACTGTTGATGGTTCACTTGTGGAACACGCTCATCCAAGTGCTAACCCAAAGGACAACAAAACCATGAAGCAAGAACAGTGATTCAGAGCTCCCAGCTGTGGGCTGGGCAACTTTGTGGCAAGCATGGGAGACTGGCTTCACCCATCAAGAGTCAAGAGAGTCTGAGGGTCATGGCTGTCAAAAGCATGTGTTTGTGTCTCTGTGTGGGTGTGTATGGGTGAGTACAGAGCCCGAAGGAGGGTGTTGGATACCTTTGAGCTGGCGTTGCAGGCAGTCGTGAGCCCCCCTGGTATGGGTGTTAGGAACCACACCTGGGTGCTCTGCAGCAAGGGCAGTAAGTGTTCTTAACTGCTGAGGGATCTCTCTAGTCACTGCGGCATCACACGCTGTGTCAGCCATGGAGCTGTTGCTGTTACACATTACAGTCTCTCTGTTAACCAGTGCTCTCCCTTCTCATCTTCCCCTCCCCAGGAAGCAGTGGGTTCTGGCACAGAAATTCAGACTAGGAGTTATCAAGTGTGCCACCAAGACTTGTATCTAATTCATTAGCCACCCGCCCCCCCCCCCCCCCGGGATTAGGGTGCGCAGATGAGCAGGCTTAAGAGGAAGGATTTGCCTCAGTTATGCCAAGAATTGTCTATACTTGCATAGGGCATTCCAATTTAGCTCAGGCAGGTATGAAAATGTAAAACAAAAAAGTGTAAAACCATAAGGATTTTTGCAGCTTAAAGCCAGTGGGGCTCCCTAATTATTTGAATTTAGGATAAGAAAACACAAAGCCTGGCATGGTGGCATATACATAACTGTAATTCAGAACTTAGAAGGCTTAGGCAGTAGGGTAACAGGTCAAGGCCAGACCAAATTACATAGTGAGATCCTGACTCTAAATAAATAAATAAATAGATAAATGGTAACATATGAAATAGGTAATACATCACTGTTAAATCACAAAGTATGGGCCCATGTAACAACTCAGTGGGTAGCAATGTCTGTTGACCTGGGTTCGAATCCACACTGGGAAAGACAGTGACCTTCACAGACACCATGTGGTATTGTACACACACACATACTCACACACACAGAGATACACAGACACACAGACACACATACACAGACACACACACATAAACGCTCACACACAGAGAGGAATAAAAGTAATTAAATTAAAAAATAAATTAATTTGGTGAGTGTGATGGCACACACCCCTTAATGCCAGAGGCAGGTGAATTTCTGTGTGTTTGAACCTAGTCTACATAACAAGTTCCAAGCCAGCTCAGGCTACACAATGAAACCTAGTCCTCAAAAGAATTATTTAAAAAACAAAATAATAAAGTATATAATGTAAAAGGTGAATACTCCGTTGCTAGCTGTTCCTACTCAACTACCTTAGTCCAGTTCCCTCAGTCTGGTGCATACTTCCTCTTCATCTACGAATTCTGTACCTTTTCAATATATATTCAGACATGGGATGAAACAGGTATTTTGTTTTTACATTTATATTTACCTCAGTTATGTCATTAGATCTTGGAAGGCCATTGAAGACTTGAAAAATGCATAGAAATAAGTACAATGACACCTATTTAGTTCTTTCTAAGAGTAGCAAAAGGAGAGATGGATTAGTGGTTCAGCACTGGTGTTGCTCTTCCAGAGGACCTGGACTTCCAGCACACATGGAAGGAAGCTCACAACAGTCTGTAACTCCAGTTCTAGGGGATGCCCCCTTCTGGCTTCCAGGAGTACTGTGCACATGATGCACACATATGCACAGGCAAAACACAGAAAATAACATTAAAGTAATTAAAAATTAATAGATAAAATGAAAAAGAAAGCATCACAAAAGATCCCAGGAATGGGCCAGACGTTGGTGGCACACACCTTTAATTCCAGCACTCGGGAGGCAGAGGCAGGTGGCTCAGTGAGTTCCAGGCCAGCCTGGTCTCCAGAGCGAGTGCCAGGATAGGCTCCAAAGCTACACAGAGAAACCCTGTCTCGAAAATCAAAACAAAACAAAACAAAATCCCAGGAATGGATGTGTAACTATTTATCTAGTATTCTTAACTAATAGACATGTAGTCATTGGTTTTCCAATGACTACATTGGAAATGCTGTTTTTAAAAATGTGGCCAGGTGGTGACGGCGAAGGCCTTTAATTCTAGCACTTGGGAGGCAAAAGCAAGTGGATCTTTGTGGGTACAAAGCCAGTCTAGACAGTCAGGACCATACAAAGAAACACTGTCTTGAAAAATAAAACAAAAAGATAGAGAGAAGTGAAAAAATTATAAAATGTGTTGCGAGTGTATGCTGAGTGTGTGAGGTTCATGGCAGAAGTCAGAAGTGGGAATTGGATTACCAACCTCACCAAGCTAGAGTGGTCAGTCAGTTGTGAGCCACCTTCGGTGGGTGCTGGGAATAGAGTTCGGGTCCTCTGGAAGAGGAGTGGATGCTCTCTCTCATCCACCCAGCCAGCACCCCAGTCAATGACACGTTTGATTAATATCCAATTTCTAGTGCCAGATGCTAAAGGGTAATTTGCCAATCAATATTTTAATGTTTATTTACCACTGTACCAGGCCAGCAACAAAGAGGATTTTTTTCTGCCATCCAACTTTTTTGTTTGTTTTTGTTTCTCTGTATTGCTTTGGAGCCTACCCTGGAGCTCACTCTGTAGACCAGGCTGGCCTCTAATTCACAAAGGTCTGCCTGCCTCCCTAGTGCTGGAATTAAAGGCGTGTGCCACCACCACCAGGCTCTTAAAATGATTTCTCATGATGTATCTGTGTGTGGGTACATGTACATGAGTGCAGGTTCGTCAGAGGCAGACCTGTCAGGTCCCCCTGGAGCTGGTGTTACAGGTGATTGTGAACCACCTGGTGTGGTGCAGGGAACAGCACCTGGCTTCTCTGGAAGAGCAGTGCGTGTCTTTAACTACTGAGCCATCTCTCCAGACCCTATTTAAAAAATCGTATTTATGTGTGTCTGGAGTGCCCATGGAGGCCAGAAGAGGGTATCAGATTCTCTGGAACTAGATATGGATGCTAGGAACTGAACTTAGCTCTTAACCTCTGAGCCTGCTATCTCCACAGCTCCCTAAGTAGAGGTGAAAGAGACATTGCCAGTGGTAGGAGATTTGCTTGTTCTCTTACAAAGTCCAGCAGAACTGGAATGACATGAATCACTCCACACACTGGCAGCACTGCAGTGTTTGGAAAGTCATTTACTTCCTCACCCACAGAAGACAGCCCAAAGACACAAAGG